CCCTTAGTAGACATAAGGGCGAAAAGGATTCCCCCACAGCTTGGAAGCTGACCTCACATGCTGGGGGAAAAGGCAGTTGAGATAGAGAAGGGACCACCAAGCAAAGGATGCTTGGAGGACTCGCTCAGAGAGGGAGATAAGTGCTTAGACTATAGACCGAACATGATGGCCATTTAATACCTGTACTGCAAACCATAACACCCAAAAGGAGAGAGTAAAAGGGAATGTGCCTGCCACAGAGGCGGGGATAGTTGTGGTGGTAGAATGGGGTGGGGGTGGCAGGAGGGATACTGGGAACATTGGTGGTGGAGAATGGGCACTGGTGGAAGGAGGGGTACTTGACCATTGTATGACTTAAATGTAATCACAAAAGTATGTAAGTCTGTTAAAAACAGTTCGATTCCTCTGCCCCTCTCGGAGAGCCCGGCAAGCTACCAAGAGTATCTCGCCTGCACGGCAGAGCCTGGCAAGCTCCCCGTGACGTATTCGATATGCCAAACACAGTAACAACAAAATCTCCAATGGAGACGTTACTGGGCCCGCTCGAGCAAAAAATAAATAAATAAATAAATAAATAAATAAATAAATAAGACTTATAAAAAAATTGCCCTTCTGTGTTCATGCTAGACACCAACTTCCCATGCTTTAAGGAGTGTCTGTCTTTCTTTCTTTATCTTTCCTTTAAACAAATGCTTCAGGTGAGAGAGATAGTACAAGTCCTTGCCTTGCATGTGCCTAACCCAGGTTGGATCCCTGGCACCACTTATGATTCTCTGAGCCCTGCCAATAGTGATTCCTGGCTGCAGAATCAGGAGTATGCTCCAAGCACTACTGGGTCTCACCCTCAAAACAAAACAAAAACAGAAAAAACAAATAAATGACTCATTTACACCCCAATCCCCCCAATTCTCCTCCATCACCCTCCTGTCAGTCATATGCTTGTTGACTGTTTTGCCAGTCATTGAGGAATTCAATGAGGGATGGGGAGTGGAGGGGGGTAGAGGTAGGATATTTCATTTTGCACCCTGGCACTATCCACAGGATGCTGCTATTGATGTGGTGCATCCTTGGCTAAAGTCATTTAACAGTGCAGGATGTCACTGTCATGATGCCTCTTCAATATGGACAAGAGTGACATTTTATTGTTTGATATTATTAGGCATTTCTTGCTGAGATAGGGTAGATTTTCAGAACCTCGGACCAGAAGATATAGGAGCCAAGATCTGAGATGGTACTGTTGGTAGAAGAATCAACCAATCATCTTTTCTCTTTTGTTTATTCAATCTAAAAAGTCAGGGCTAGAGTGATAATAGAGCGGGTAGGGCTACAGTTAGGGTTAGGGTTAGGGTTGCATGCGGCCAACCCAGGTTCTATTCCCAGCATCCCATATGGTCCCCTAAGCACCGCCAGGAGTGATTCCTGAGTGCAAAGCCAGGAGTAACCCCTGTGCATCACCGGGTGTGACCCAAAAAGAAAAAAAAATTCATCTAAAAAGTATGTGTACTTTTCTCCACTACCAGGAGAAAAACGTTATTGAAAATGCTTCAACTACTGAACTACACCTCGAACCTCTGTTTCGTCCCCATTCGAGTTGAATCTTCCTCCATCCCGGTAATTCTGGAACATTCACTCTCGTCTCTGGGAGTTTGAGAACAGACACAGAGCTATGCCATTTTCATAAAAAATTTCTGAGCAAGCCAAGAGTTGGAAAATGTCACTACAAATAATAGTAATTATTCTGTCTGTTTGAGCAAACAGAATTAGCGTCATTAATACTTATTATTAATTTACCCACAATACACATATCAAAGATGATGAGGCAATCAGTTGATAAAAATGCATAATGACAAACCGCGTGGAAAGGAAAAAAAATTTTCCTCTAAAAGATCAAGGAACCATAGGAATCTCCGTAGGAAAGCTTGCTGGTCTCCTAAACATGTGCAACCCTCCCCCACACCCCTGCCAGCATTGGTCCAAAGGGGACATGTGGCTTCTTTTGTTAACTGGTCCCTGATGGGCTTTGTCCTCCTGAGTGTGAGCTGCTTTCAGTTGGAATTAATCAGAGAAGCCAGGGTGATGAGGCCATCCCAGCCGCTGACAGCCATGCTATAAATGCTTCCTTGTTCCCACCCGCGCTGGCGAAGGAAGAGGTTGGAACAATGGGAGCTAATGATGGAACTCTGGGAGCTATCATTTCGAATCAGGCCATCCCTTATGCCACCCTTGTGAAAATTCAGCCAGGCTCATGCTCCCTTTCAACTTAGCAGACTCTCCCCCACCCCTTGGCTCAGCGAGCCCAGAGCCAGCAGGGGGCTTCGGAACTCTATGTGGATACCAGATACCACACAGGAGGACCAGCAGCCCAGGGAGCTTCCAGATCACACAGTGACTGTGGCCAGTTACAGGCCAGCTTTGCCCACGGTCACATGCTGCTGGTTGGAAATACCAGCTTTGCCTCTGGCGCAGGTACAACTCACCAGGAAAGCTCTCCAGGAATCCTACCCTGCAAACGCTTGGGCAATCTCTCTATTGAAATCCCAGAGCTGTCCTGGCTTCTGTTCTTACCACTCCATGCGCTACTATGAGTGATTTGAACAGGCTTCAATACACAGCCGTACAGATGCATGAGTGAGCCTGGCCGAACCCAACTCAGATGAGCAGAACTGGCTGTCGGACCCATAGACACAGGGTGCATAATACACACTGCTGCTCAAAACTCTAATCTGGGGGGTGGGTAGTTTATCACACAATAATGGTGGCTGATACATCTGCTGAGTTCAGGTTGATGAAAGGACAGCTTCTATGTGGGCTAAATATAAAGATAGATCGGACCACGAGGCTTCAAATTTTAAGGGGAGTCACTGGGGATCTTTAAGCAAGAGTACACACAGCATGGAAAGCAGAGTTCCAGAAGCAGGAAGCAGAATAAAGGACTGAAGGAAGGAGGCAGGAAGTGCTCAGAGGACAGGTGAGCGGCGGGTATGGAAGGAAGGCTGAGAACAGCCAAAAGTGACACCAAGGTTCGAGAATATGACCACAAAGGACAGTAGCAGGAAAACTGGATGGAGTCATTACTGGAGAAGTCTGTAGAGTACTAGATGGGGAAGTTTTGCATTTGGAAATGTGAGGCCATTTAGCTCTGTGGATGAGGAAAACTGTAGCACTGTAGCATTGTCCTCCGTTGTTCATCGATTTGCTTGCGTGGGCCCAGTAACATTGTGAGACTTGTTGTCACTGCTTTTGACATAGTGAATATGTCACGGATAGCTTGCCAGGCTTTGTGGTGCGGGCGAGATACTCTTGGTAGCTTTCCAGGCTCTCCGAGAGAGGAGGAGGAATCGAACCCGGGTCAGCTGCAGGCAAGGCAAACACCCTACCCACTGTGCTATAGCTCCAGCCCATGGGGAAAACATTTAAGGCTATTTTCACAGAGGTGATGATGGTGGAAGGCTTGACTCCAGGCAAGAGAAGATAAAGTGTAGCTGTCTGGGTGAAGAACCTTGACACCCGTGGGCCAGGTGTATTTGCTGCTATTATCATTCATGGATTCATTCCTGGCAGTGCTCAGGGGATGGTAGGGAGTGCTGGGGATTAAATCCAGATTGGCCGTATGCAGGGCCAACATCTTTCCCACTGTACTATTGCTTTGGCCATTGCAGTGTTAGATAGTAACTGTGATACTAGCTGGTCCTAGAGGCTTAACTTGGTAAACAGCAGCTTTCTGCAGGTACCCTATAGAGAGATGTCTGCCTGTAGTCAGAATTCGGGATGTTTAATTTTAAGAAAGTATTTTTTGTGTTATTGTACATAATGGGCTGGAACGATAGCACAGTGGGTAGGGCATTTGCCCTGCATGTGGCCGATCCGGGTTGGATTCCTCTGCCCCTCTTGGAGAGCCCGGCAAGCTACCCGAGAGTATCTCGTCCACACGGCAGAGCCTGGCAAGCACCCCGTGGCATATTTGATATGCCAAAAACAGTAACAACAAGTCTCATAATTTGTTATGAGACATTACTGGTGCCTGCTTGAGCAAATCGATGAACAATGGGAGGACAGTGCTACAGTGCTATCATGCAAAAAATGTACCTGAACAGGTAGCAGCTTAAGACTTGGGAGAGCGGAAGAAATGTGGCTCCATGGTTTTAGCTAGTAGGCTCTCCTGAGGTTGTTGCCAGAGTCGGTGGCAGTGGAAGAAGGGATTGGGGATGAAAAGTGTAATTCCAAGATGGCTTACTCATAGGGTAGATGACTAGAGGCCTCCATTCACACCTTGTGCATAGCCTGTAGTGTACCTGAGTATCCTCATAACATGGCAACCAGCTCCCTCCAGAGGGAATGACCCAAGACAGACATCATATGTTTTTCCCTCTTACAAGTCACAAAGACCAACAACACTGATGCAATGTGGAAGAGGACTACCCCAGGGCACCAAGAGGTGGAATTCACCGGGAGCCATCTAGGATGGAGGATGTAACTAATGACAAGAGGACTGCCACAGAGAAAGAGACGCGACACCCATGCCGGCACATTCTCCATGGAGCACCCTGTCTCCCAAAACTGGACTGGTAGAGTAGAAGCTTATTTCTCTCATTTGCCTAATTTCTAGACCACTTATTACGGGCCAGGAATGATACAGAAATTCTCCTGAAATTGACACCATCATCTCACCACTTGCAGTAAGAAAAGCAGGCCTGAAATTACCCGGCCAAGTTCTTACCATCAATTTGAACTGAGACTAGACTAGGAACTCAAATTGGCCAACATTGAGCCCTCACCAGGAACCTCGATGCTACTAAGCTGATTGTAGTGGAGTGGAAGTGGTGGTGGTGGTGGCGGGGAGCTGACTTCCTCTGTTGGAAACTCTGGAACAGGTGACTTGGTGTGAGCCACACGAAGAAACACGAGCAATGACCCAAAGGTGCCTGTAGCTAGCAGCAGAAGCACAGCGTCATTCCCCTGCTGTGCGCCGGACAGTGATGGAGAAATCCAGTGGAGCTTACCGTCCTTGGGACTTGCTTTCTTCTCAGTGGGCAGCTCAACAAACCTCAGGAGAGGGGATCTGGATCTCTGTAGCGTGGGAAGAGTGGAGTCACTGAACAGGATGGTGTCCTTTCCCCCTGGCAAGAGAAGAGGACAATGGACATTCGATGTCTCCAGAGAGTTGGGGCAGCATCCAATCCACCCTCCCTCACTGGACTGGCTGTCTGTATGGATCAGGCATCCTCTCAACTGTGGCAACACTGTGAGGGAGAGAGGGCCAGCTGGACCTGTGTACAGTATAGAGACAGAGCCAGGAGCCGACTAAGAGCTCTGGGATCAGGAAAGGGCCGCTACAATGGAACCATTACGGGACAGCATCTGATATTAACCCAGCAGACTACTCCGAAGGAGATAATTACAATAGCAACAACAATAATGGATGGTACTGGCATGCGGGGTGGAGAGTACACTGCAGAGTTTGTGCTCCGGGTTCTGTCATCGCTTGCAAGCTGGGTGACCTTGGACACATCTCTGAACTTCTCTGAGCCTCAGATCCCACTTCTGTAATATACGCATGAAACATGGCAACCATCTTGCCCCCCATTCCCTCCACCCCCGACTGGGACTGGTATCAAATGCAGTGATTCATGTAAAGTTCTTGGGTGTTCTGCCAGCACTCAGTAAATGCCACCTCCTGAAATGATCAAAGTGTAGATAGCATTGCTGTAAACGCTCCATCTGATTTCATTCAATTATAGGATTAAATAGTAACAGCATCACAAGACAGGGAGTATCGGGTCCCCCAAAGGACCAGAGCTGAATTTCCCTTACCAGGGAAGCCCTACTCCTTATCATGTGTACGCCTCACAGGGCCAAGGAAAGTCTCAGGCAAGGACAGGAGAAACAGAAAACCATTACAACTCTATTTCCCATGTCATGGCAAGTTCTAAATGTGAGCTGCTGAACAGACACATGGTGAACAAAACAAGTACAGGTGGCCACCATGCCACACTGCCCAGGGGATGGTGGAGTCCAGATGCAGGAGGCAGAGCCCAACTTTGGTCCAAGAGACCTCTGTATTCTCTTGGTGGGAATTGTTGTGCCACAAAAGGAAAGTACGTGTGTGTGTGTGTGTGTGTGTGTGTGTGTATGTTCCTCCCTATGTTCTAGCCTTAATTGTGTGTCTCCAAGCAATACCTATTCTGAAGCCGAGTCACTTGTCATATCTGAGGTTCAGCTATGAGATTCTAAAATTCTGCAATTTTGTTTATTTGCAACAGAACACAAACTGGATCTGTGTCAAGACACCCACTAGTGTGTGTGTGTGTATGTGTGTGTATGTGTGTGTGAGTGTGTGATGGTGGGGGTGCTGTATCTCAAGTGTTCAAGAGCTTCAAGGACCCCTCTCCATGATTCTTAGTCAAGACTGTACCCCATGATACTCAGAGGACCATGTGGTGCTGGAAATTGAACCAGGAGTGGCTGCATGCTCTCTCTACCAACCTTACCTACTAGCCTACTGCTCCCCTACCTCCCCCACCTACTCACCTACTCCCTTCCTATCCCTTTATATGTTGAGGACAAGCTGGCTCCCAGACTCAGCCATGGAGCCCTCTCCTTGTTTACAGTATTGTCTTTCATTTGGCCATGTCTTACTGGATCAGTTTCCAAGACTAGAGAATCCTGAGCCCATAGTAAGTTCTTTAGAAATATCTGATATGCATCTGGTGCATTCTTGAGGCTCTGGGTCTGCACCATACTTGCTACCATGGGAAGATGGGGGGGCAGAGGTAGCCCCAACTTCTGCAATCTAGCATCAGCCTGGAAGAGGAGAAATTTGATAAGGGCCAACCCTAAAGCTCTCTGACAGCCAACTCTCATCTCATGGGTGATAAATTCAGCATTCTCAGGGCCTTGGTATGGAGCGCCTCCCGAAGAGGGTCAAAGAGCAACAGCAGAGGGGGCTACAGGAGGGTGCCAGAATGAAGTCCGGCTGGAGGGGTTGCTCTGTTCTTTCCACCAAGGACTGTGGGCTTGATCTCTCTCGCAGGAAGGGAGGCTGGCCACCATCTAGTCTTAAGAGAACTCAGAAACACTCCCCCTCAACCCTTCCTGTGCCTCAACCAACCTTCCAAGCCCCCTCTGCCCTGCTGACCACACGCATACACTGATATCCACTTATACACATCACACACACACTCTACCACACACACATCTACTTGCCCCAACACACATCAACACACCCACACACATACATGCACATCACATCCACCACACGTCATACCCATCCTATCACACACACTCACACACACTCATATCCACCCACACATATCACCCCACTCAACCCCACTCACACACATTTGCACACACATACTCATATCCACCCACAAATGTCATACCCATCTATCATACATAGTCACACCCAATCACCCACACTCACACACATACACACACTCATATCCACTCCCACATATCACCCCCACACCCTCACTCACATACACACACTCACACATGTACTCATATCTACCCATATACTGCATCCACACATACCCACTCACTACATACATACACGCACACACACATACTCATAACCATCCAGACATGTCACACCCACTCTGTGACACACATTCACACCCACCACACTCACACACACTGATACACATCCTCATACTCATCCATCCACGTCCACTCACCCCTGCCACAGACTCACACACATATACACCTTCACACACATATACCATCCACCTACACTTACATACAAACACACATACTCATTTCCACACAAGCACACTGACTCTCTCATCCCTGTCACAGACTCACAGACATGCACACTCACACACAAACCCACATACACACACCACTCACACCCTCACACCCACAGATGCCCCCTCCCCCTATATCACAAACACACATTCATACTCTGTGAATTGATTTAATGGAGGAGACATGGATTCTTTCAGAATTCTGGTGAGAGGAAGAGAGAGAGAGAGAGAGAGAGAGAGAGAGAGAGGAGACATAGAGAGGAGAGAGAGGAGACAGAGAGAGAGGAGAGAAAGAGAGAGGGGAAACAGGGAAACAGAAAGGAGACAGAGAGAGAGAGAGAGAGAGAGAGAGAGAGAGAGAGAGGAGAATAATTCTCTAACACCATTGAGAGTCTCCTCTGGGCTGTTGGAACACCAAGACTTGGCTCCTATTCAGGCAGAGAGAGGAAAAGAAAGAAAAGGAGAAATCAATGGAGGGTGAGGAAGAAGAAACAGAGGAGGGGAAGAAGGAGGGCAAGGGGCAAAGAGGAAGGGACAGCTCGCTGCCTCTGCCTGCCGCACCAGGGGCCCGGGATGATTTACACCAGGAAGCACCCCCCCCCCCTCACTCCCACCAGCTCGAGGATGAAGCAAAGGCAATGGCGCTTCCTGGGAACATCCTTCATCACCGTACCGGGGCAATGCTATTGCCCCCGTGGTGAACGGTATCTATCAGAGCCGGGGAAATGGCCACTCTTTCTGCCTGCCTCCCACTTCCTATCAACGTGGAGGCCAAAGATTAGAACAAACACTCCATGGCATAAACTCCATTCAACCGGGTCCTTCAAAGCTAATTTTGCCATTTAATATTTGTTTTGTGCTAATTGAATTCTCTGTTTTCGTGGACTCTTCTCATCAGGAAAATGCAGGGATACTTAGAAAATGCGTTTCTATTTATTTCCATGCAATGATGTTGCTAATGCACTGTGGATATGAGCCACAAACACAGATATTTCAAAGAGAACATACTCCCAAATCCCACGGAAACATTGTAGCTCAGGCCTTTGGGCAGCAAAAGGAAGGAAAGAAACAGCCGTTATTACACAATAACCATTTGAATCTAAGTGAGACCCAACAACATCCAGACAGAAAATTCTCAGCATTCCATCCTTTGATTCAACCGCCATCTTTTTTACATAAGTCAGAGAAATAAAACATTGGGAAATTTCACGAAGGCATTTGATGAAGGGGAAGGGGAAGAAAACAACAACTCGAGTAAACGCACAGAAATAGCAATCTGCCTGTGCAAATAGACGATCCCTTTGCCAGGCTGTGTTGAAATTCAAAGCAGTAACAGAAAGGCCTTCAAAGGAGATAAGGTTTAACCACATCAAAAGATTCATGTGCAAAGTGGATCATCCAAATCCACAGGACGGGACTCGCCACTAATTAGTTCTGTTAGGTCTTTTGACACCAAGTTCAAGGAATCGCAGCTAAACATTCTGATTTATGAAACACACTTCCGGCAACCTCAGGCAGCTTTTCAACTTTACATTCAGAAAAGGTATGGTTGCTTGTACTTGTCCCTGTCCCCGTGGCAATGTTCATTTCTCATACATTAGAGGGGAGTCGCCATATGATTCAGGGGAGAGGAGATCAGTGGGCACAGAAAGGTTAAGTAACTAAAAATATCTGTACTATGTTGCCTCCGAGGAATGAGGCGGTGGAGGGAAATGATAAATACAAGTTTCTGGGGAAAGGGGACTAGCTGTCGGGGGTCTTGGTGAAGGGGGTATTTTACCAAGACAAATGGGATAAATATAGCTAATTAAAGGGAGATTATCAGAGTTTCCACACACCGGGTACAACTGTGAAAAAAGATATCCCCACAGGAAATTTTGATTTTTAAGCTACATAAAAAACAGGATGGGTGAAGAGGGGGAAAAGGGCGTTGTGTAGTATATGTGGGTTACAATAATTTGTATTTAGATTCATGTTTAGGAAGGCTGATGAAATCGAACAAGTCTTACTAAGTTCTTATATATTCATCTTCGGGAATAATTAAATTGAGCAACGCTTTGTAAGTTCCTATCTTCATGTTTAGAATTGATGATTAAATTGAACACATCTTTATAAGATACCCACAGGTAAAATAAAAAGGAAACAATTTATTATATACACATATGCACACACACTGATGATTTCAGAATTGAAGTCAGCAGAACTTTACAGTGCCACAGAGGGGAGCTTGCATATTTATTGAATATTCTCAGATTTCTTCCCAAAAGGATGTCTTGCTAAGTTTAGAACACTTGTAGATTTCCCAGCAATGAGCTTCAAATAAAAGGGATATTTAAAAGGTAGCATCTCTATTGCAAATGTTTTTGATAAAAAAGGAAAACTATTTTCATGACGTTTTCTTACCTGGAAGACTCCACAAACCAGAAACTTCCAGAGTTCTTAATTTTTTCTCCAATTCGGCCACTCGATTCCCTAGAATTCTGGAAATGGGGAAGAAAGGGCAGCAAAGTATTACTGAGTATCTCATCAGTTCTTGGCTGCAGGTAGACCAACCACTCAGCAATCTATTAGGTGTGAAAAATCTATTGAGAGAAAGGTTTGAGATTCATTATAGTCATGTCAAGAGTAACATAATGACAGTTGTCCAAGACCAGTGTCCTACTCCCCTTAGTGTGAGGATGATTAGCCAAACCAAACACGATCTAGGTTTGGATGATCACACTCCTTGATGTTTGCAAAGTGATAAAATCTAACACTCATTTATCAGAAGGGATTCCAAGGAGGAATAAATCCACAGTATCTATGCTAAAAATGGGGCATTTGTTAATGTGAATCATATATAAACACATGCATGAGTCCACTATTAAAAAAACACCAAAAATACATGTGAATTATTAGAGAAAGACTAAGATGTTGTCCTAAAAGTGATCCTTTTCCACAAAAAAGAGATCCCCTGGGAAACCAAACCATTTCACTAGTATCCTATAAAATTTCTTTTGGGGAATTGCTGACCTTGAAAACTAGCTTTGAGTAGTTGTAGTATCACATCTGTTTGTTTCTGTTTCAGGGCCATATCTAGTGGAGTTCAAGACTGACTCCTGGCTTTGTCCTTTTTTTTTCTTTTGGGTCACACCCGGCAATGCACAGGGGTTACTCCTGGCTCTGAGCTCAGGAATAACTCCTGGTGATGCTCTAGTGACCATATGGGACACTAGGAATCAAACCCGGGTTAGCCACATGCAAGGCAAATGCCCTACCCGCTGTGCTATCACTCCAGCCCCTCCTGGCTTTGGCTTAAGGATCACTCCTGACAGGCTTGGGAAACTATATGGGGTGTCTGGGATTGAACCTGGGTCTGTTGTGTGCAAGGTAAGTGTCCTTCGACTGTACTATCTTTCAGGCTCCAGTGTATCACATATTCATTCATGGAGTGTGAATTTTAATTCTGCAAAGCAAAATATTATTTTTTTTTTAAATAGAATCACAGTGAGATACAAAGTGGTTCATGACTGGCTTTCAGTCATATAATGTTCCAATATCTGTCCTTTCAATATTTTCCACCACCAATGTCCCCAGTTTCCCTCCCACCCCTGCCTGCCTCTATGATAGGCACTTTTCTTCTCTCTCTCTGTCTCTCTCTCTGTTTCTCTCTCTCTTTCCATCTATCTGTCTCTCTGCCTGTCTGTCTCTCTCTCACTTTGAGCCTTATGGTTTGTGATGCAGATACTGAAAGGATATCAGGTATCAGGAGAAGGGCAGTTAGGATAGAGAAGGGACCAGTATGACAATAATAGTTGGAAATGATCATTTTGGTCAGGAACTGAGTGTTGAAAGTTCATAAAGGTAAAGGGCAAACTTTTAAAAAAAATGCATAGTTTAGTTTATTCTGGGCTGGAGCGATAGCACAGCGGGTAGGGCGTTCGCCTTACAAGCGGCCAACATGGCCGACCCGAGTTCGATTCCTCCGCCCCTCTCGGAGAGCCCGGCAAGCTACCGAGAGTATTCCATATGCCAGACACAGTAACAACAAAGTCTCCAATGGAGACGTTACTGGGCCCGCTCGAGCAAATCGATGATCAACGGGAGGGCCTTTACCTTTTACCTTTTTCAGGCCCATTTAAGCTGTACTCAGAGGCTGTTTCTGAGCCTGTGCTTAGAAGTAATACCTGGTAGATAGAGGTTTGCTCAGGGAACCATATGTTATGCTGGAGACCAACTGGGATTGGCAGGGATGACAGGGCACCCTTGTACTACCTCTCCAGTCCCCATGAATTTGAATCCTGGAAACAACTTTGTCTAACAAAATACAATGGGTAAACATGTCTGGATAATGTTACTAAGTCAATAAAATAGTAATATCTGCTTTATTCTATCTGTAGAACTATGTCTTTGATATGGAGAATAATGCTTGGTAGACAGGAGGTGTTCAGCAACCACATTTGATGAAATACATGCTTTTCATTTCTCATGGCTTGTAATTATCTATGGAGTGAATTTAAAAACAGGTATTTCAAGAGAATTTGCAATGGCTGCAGAACCAGAAGAATAGCTGTCTTGTTTTCCAAGGTGACCATTCTGACTCACTGTGAAAATGAACCACACTGGAATGTGTGTTTAAAATTGTTTATCTGGAATCCTCACTTTCTCTATATGCATGGACATAAATGTGAATCTACATTTCCCCTCCTTCATGCTACACAAAATTAAATATAGTTGGAAATGATTTGATAGTCATCTGAAACTTCAATCACTTTCCATTGGCTGGAAATTGAAAAACCAGTCTTTACATTATTTGGGGGATTTTCTTGGCACTGCTGTGCTAAAATGATGTGGAAATCACCTTAATAGCAAAGTTTCAATGCCTTTCAGCGGGAGAAATCAGAACGCCAGAATTGTTCTCCCACTTCTCTCTTTATATTCCAGAGATAGCAGCACACACCCACAGACATACAGAGCCATGAATATGTATATATCTGCACATATATATGTGGCTTTGAATTCATCTTTATTTTACCTGAATTGACTTGCAGCATCTTAATTAATATTCCCCTTGAGTTCACAGAGAATTCTTTGACATTACTATATGTGTTTTCTTCATCTAGGTACTTAGGGATTTTCTTCTTTTCCTTACATCTCAAACTCTGCATAGTCTTTATCAATTACTTTCCATTTCCACTCCATTTCTTGGGACTATTCCACTTTCCTGTCTCTAGCCCTTCAAGAACCACCATTCTTCATAATCCCACTTTCAATATTTTGCTCAGAACTTCTGATGCAAGCTTCCTTCCGCAACTGATGGGTTTGCCAAGCAATCATAGCGGTACTCAAGCTGACACCTGTTTCTTAACAAGATCAGATCATCTGTATGTGGCTGCCTCTCGGAAACAAAAGATAAAGCTAAAATCCTCTGTGTACGCCAAAAGATGCCATCAGGGTGCGGGGAAGAGACTTTTGATTTTTTTTTTTCTGAGGTTCCTGGATACACAGCCATGTCTGCCTGAGGTGAATTTGCTGGTGTGCCCAACAGTCTCCTTAGGCGTACCCTGCCTATGACAGCCAGTGGTGACTGCTTTTTCTGGCATCCTGCCTTCTCAAGCATCCTTTGTAGGACTGGAGCTAGTAAAATGCATCCCATAGAAACCTTGTAAAAGTATACTGGTACTAATGCCTCAGTCATAATAGCAGCTCCACTACCATCAGCGGAGAAAGTAAAAGTGACTGCCCCTGAGTCTGGGTTCTGAGCAAGAGCCCAAGCTCTGCTTAGTAGGAACATCCAACTGAACTTGCATTCTTTTCCCACCTGAAAATAAGTCCTGCAGTGTGCATTATATCATGACTCTCCTTTATAATACAGACCCTAAGGAACAGAAAGGTTAAGAATTTTGCCTCAAGCCACACAGCTCATTATCAAACCGTGCCTTTTCCCAATACCTACTATTTTTGTGCCACACACTCTACTCTGCCCATTAGGAAACGAACACAGAAGTTTGTTACACTGACCCAAACCACAAGCAGGATTCAATTGGTGATGAGTCCAGATGAGCCTCAGTTTATTTCCAAAATGCATGTTCTTAACTAACACCTCAACAGGTTACTTCTTATACTTCTTATATAATATACATCTTACATTATTTCTTGAGTCTGGGGCTGGAGTGATAGCACAGCGGTAGGGTGTTTGCCTTGCGTGCAGCCAGCCTGGCTGAGCCGGGTTCGATTCCTCCTCCCCTCTTGGAGAGCCTGGCAAGCTACCCAGAATATTCAATATGCCAAATACAGTAACAAGAAGTCTCACAATGGAGATGTTACTGGGCCCCCTCGAGCAAATCGATGAACAATGGGAGGACAGGACAGGACATTATTTCTTAAATTATATGGCCTGGAGAAGTATTCTCTAATTATCATTCACACTGTGATAAGAAGGGTAAAATGTAGGAAGTCGTCCACAGCTGTTGACTTGCAAAATACAACCCAAGAGTCTTCAAATGATAAAGCAAAGACCCTCTGACTGGCTTGACACTGAAAAATTAATGGCAGGGGGGTCAACTGGATGTGGTGTGATGCAGCTCAGAGGGGAGAAGATTATTTGAGATTTCCTGGAGCAGGCACTATGGAGCTGGAGCTGATGGAAACAGCAACTCCGTCCACTCGATTCAGCTGGACCAGCAGATAATGATCATGGACAGAAGGGAAGATGACAAGAAATAGACTCATTCCCTGTACCTGAAGGAAAAGTGTGGTGGGAGACAGACAGATGTTTGTTTGTTTACTTATTTATTTGCTTTTGGGTCACATCTGGAGATGCACAGGGGTCACTCCTAGCTCTGTACTCAGGAATTACCCCTGGCGGTGCTCAGGGGGACAATATGGGATGCTGGGATTCGAACCCGGGTTGGCCGTGTTCAAGGCAAACACCCTACCTGCTGTGCTATTGCTCCAGCCCCCGGATGGATGTTTACACATAGACCACAAGCACCTAGGCCAGTGAAAATATCAGTATCTCTCAATATTTCTTCATTGCTGGTTATGCACCAGGTATGATTCTAAGTGCTTGCTGAGACATTCTCTCCTCCAGTCCCTGACCACTGATGTGAGAGCTTTTATTATGATAACTTTGTTAGATAAAGAAACTAAGACTTTCAGAGGCTCACGCAGAAGATAAGGGAGGGCCCAGGGTCAATGCCTGGGCCTGGAAACCCACAAACGCTTTGGTGGAACTAGACAGTGGAGCAAACTCAGTGAAAGACGGATGAGCTGGTTGCCATACTGAGAACATGCAGACTGGTCAAAGGGAGAGATAAAGAAGTTTGAGGAGAGAAGTCCAGACGTACTCAAGCACAGAAGTATTCTGGATGTGAAGCTAAGAATGGGTGGCAGGGGTGGAGAGGGGGAGGGCTGCAGAAATAGTACAGTGGATAGGCTGACCTAAGCTTAATGTCCCAGCACCATACAAGGTCCCTAGATCACCAAGCGCAGAGTCAGG